GCGAGATCGCGACCTGGCTGAAGTCGGACGCTTAACCGACTGCGCCACCCAGGCGCCCCTCCTTTTTTTCTTTTTTAAACAAGAATTTTCCCGTTACAACGTGGGTACTGGGGGCACGATCAAGAATAAAAGCCGGGGGTGGACTAGCCTGTCTACCCTATGGAAGGGAGGCAGTTGTTCTGTCCCTTAAGGCAAAAGAGGGCGGGGAATGGGCTACTATTGGTAAATTGCCCAGAGGCTGCTGAGAACCAATTATAAAGTACATTTTATATTCTATAGTAAGGGAGTAGTTCATCAGAAACCAGGGCAAAGGGGAGGAGTAAAAAGGAAACTTTTTACTGGTTGATGGGAGGAAACCTGATCACATGATATCCTCTGATGATAAAGATACTGTTCTTTTCCTCAAGTCCTTGGACCATTATGTACTGTTTGTGTGTGTGCATCAGGAGTTGAAGGGATCGTTTTACACTTCATCGTCCTCGCTGTCCTGGGCTTTGTCTCTGTCTGTCTCAGTTTCCCTGCAGTCCTCGCCTCCCGGAGTTAGGAGGCTCCAGTGAGTAAGCAAGAACCACCAGGACGGCATCAGTACCCGTAGAAAGAGATGACGACCACCCAAAGGAGAATAAACAAAGGTTATTTATTTCCAACTTGCTATTGCAAGGGAGTCAGCCAGCATCCCTCGTAAACTGGCAGAGATTCCAAGACAGGGAAAACTTTATAGTGGAAAAAAAGGGAAGGCTTCAGGTATACGCTGATTGAAGCTGTTGGCATGGGGAAGCAGTAGGCAGCTAATTAGAAGCAGGGCCTCCTCTGTGATTGGTTAGGGAGCCTATCTGGATTTTTCTGGTTGGTTCTAAGTTGGAAGTGAGGTCGAATTAGGGAAGCTGGCCCTGATCAACCAAGTCCTGATGATTTGGGGGTGCTTGCTACAGAGGTGATAGTTTGGCTTCCTGGCCTAGGGGACTGCAGAGGCTGTGGGTCAGAATTCTATTGGCGTGTATGGTCTGGCCATTGTCCATCGTATAGCAAGTGTCCCACATCCCTCCTGGCGGAGCTACGCTCACTATTTACAAAGCTGGTGAAGACATGGGACCTCCCCCAGGCGAGAGCTGGAGGAAGTGGTTGATAATGCTGAGTCCCGGATTAGTTGGGCAGAAAAGGAAACTTTCCAGCTCTCTTCTCGGAGAGGATGAGGGTATCACTATCCCGGATACCATAGCTCCACAAAGACACCCAATCCTGCAGGACTTGGCCTTGGAACTCCAGCTGCTGCTGACTTGTGGGCAGCCCCTGCTTGTCTTCAATCTGCTGCTTCAGGCCCAGGATGAAGCTTTTGGGGTCAATGGCGTAGGCGTGGCTCCCGCCATTGGGATGATTCACAAAGACCTGGATCTCGGGGGAGATGGTCTCCACCAGACAGATGCGGATGTTGGAGAAGACTCCGTAATAGGCCAAGGAGCACCGGCTATTGAGGGGCTGTCGCTTGCCACCAGGCTCCTGGAAGGACAGATGCTGTAGGCCTACGCAGCCCCGGCTCTGCCAGATCTTCTCTTTAACCTTCTTTATGGGTTCATAAGGGTTCACCCTGAGGATCAGATCTGAGTAACCCCACTGTTCCACGGTCACTTGGATGTCTCGTGCCCGCTGGAAGGGAGAGAAGAGGGAGAGGGGTTAATTCCACCCTCCTCTGACATGCAAAATTTCCCTTTACCCCTCCTCGTGTTTCCAACAGCAGTAAACATTTGGGTTGTGCCAACCACCTTCCAGGCCCTGGGCTGGGCACCTGTCACACTCTTCTGAATGCATTTTATTGTCACAGCAGCCCTACGACCTTGGTTCCTATTATCCCATTCTACAGAAGAGGAAATTGTGGTCGAGCGTGGTTAAATAACTTACTGACCATCACAAAGGTGGTGAGGAGCACCGTGGGTATTTGACCCAAGGTCGGTCAGATTTCAAAGTCTGTTCTGAACCACCATCAGCGGCCACGCTCGAGGGTCTGGGAGTCCCTGGTGGCTGAAGAACACCACCTGGAAGGTGCTGGGGAGGGTTGGACACCAGCTGATCTTTTCAAGAAGGAACATAAGCCCGGAATCCCCAAGTCTTCTGATTTTACTAGATAAAAGTCTTTGCACAACGGTTTTTAGATTCAGGAAAAACCCAGAGGCATATACTTTTCAGTCTATCTGTGGGCCTCAGTTGGCTGGTGGGCCCCCCAAAGACCTGGGTGCAAATTCTGGCTCTGCTGCCCCTTTGCAGTGTGATCTTGGTTAATTAACTGAACCTGCCTGAGCCTCAGTTTCTTCATCCCTTGAGGGTAGGGGTTAAGTCTTATTTCTGCACTACTGTTGTTCCATTGTCCCTCCCCACAGCAACCCCAAATGCTGGCACAAGAGAGCTGTTGAACTGACTCGCCTGGGCTCAGCTCATGCAAAGAATGCTCGCGAGCATGACTGATTCTCCAGGGGGGGTGTGGGAAAGAGAAAGACAAGGAGAACACGAGTTTGTAAGAAAGGCTGAGGCTCAGAGGGTTGAAAAAATGTCCCCGAGTTCACAGACCTGGTGGGTGCCCCAGCCAGGCTTCCAACTTCCTGACTCCATCGACACAGAAGTATATGCTACGCAGTTACCCGCTTCCAAGCTTCAAGCCCTTGACAACCCCGAGAGGAGCCATTACCTTCACGGTCCAGCTGGGGACTGGATTCTCCTTGTCGTCATAGCAACAGTTCTGTTTCAGGCACTGGGAGGCCCTCTGGGCGACGATGTCCCATCTGTACCCTTCTGCCACATTGTGGGTGGGGTCAGCTGGATCCAGGATGACAGGCCTGCAACACAGGGAGAGGGTTCCCAGACTCTCTCCCGTCTGGAGGCCAGCAAGCCAGAAAGAATCCTGCTCAAGCGATCATCTGTTCCAACCACTGAGCACGTGCTGTGTCTGGAGCCCTGGGCGGGCTGTCAGGCTGAGAGGACCCAAGAACATTGGTGGAGAAGAAGCGAGTGGGGATGATTATATTTCCAGGAGTTCCTTTTGGAGAGGTGCGTGCAAGGTGTTTGGGGGGGGGGGGTGTGGAGTGTTGAGATGCCCCAAGGGCATGGGTAGCGATAACAGGTACCCGCTTAGGCAGGTGGGCAGAGCTTTTGTTTTGCTGAGGTTCCATAGGTAAGTTGAAGGCTAGGGCTGCTGAAGTGCTTTGGATGATAGAAACACCACCACCACCACCAACTACTGATATTTATTGAGGCGCTGGGCCACACCCTGTGTGAATTCACCTATTTTAATCCTTCTAACAATTCTGAAAGGCAGCGACTATTGTTGTTGCTGTTGTTGCTGTTGTCCCCATTTCACAGAGGAGGGAACTGAGGCACAGACTTCTTTCTGTGAGTTCTCGCAGCCAGCAAATGGGTGTTCTCACCCATGGGCTCTGCCTCAGTAGAGCAGGGGTTAGGCTGCCACCAAACGTCTCTCTTCTGTATAAATGGTGAATGAATTTTTAAAGAATATTGGCTTGAAGGAGGTCTAATCGCTTCCTTAAGTGGTGTGGGGTGGCCATATGTGTTGGATGCCAAGCCCATGATTAAGACCTGGCCCTTATCCTCCAGGAGCTTTGGGCATAGGAGGGAGCTGTGACTTTATCCGTGACAGAATGCAACATCCCTGCATCCCTGAAATAATCCTGCCTGAAAAAGGGGGAGGTGCCAGGCTGTCCTAGAGGGTGAGATCACCTGACCCAAAGTGACCCACCAGGTGACCTGACACATAGCGCCTGTGCCCAATGGGTAGACTAGTTCCCTCTGGGGACTGGACCAGGGATGATGCAGGTTCCTCATCAAACGGAAGTAAGAGAGGAACAGGGCAGGTGTGGGGAGAGCAGCAGAGGTCATGGGAAGAAAGAGGGCCTGGGGACCACGAGAGAGACAGAGAAAGAGGGTGTCTGCAGGTTTGCCTTGGGTCCCAGTGGCTTTCTAACCTCACATTCCTGGGCATCCTTATAATAAAAATTCCCTTCTCATCAGGAGATTGGGGTTTTCTTCCTTGTAAAGAAATAAAAAGACCCAATACTCATATAAGGGAACAATAAATATTGCTTGCAGCTACCTAGAGCTAAGGTAAAGACTTGTTTCAGCTGGGCGTCCCCAGAAGTAGGTGCCAAGAGCAGGATCTGAGTGCTAGGGGTTTATTTGGAAGGATATGTGGGGAAGCACCACATGTGGGGAAGGATATGTGGGCCACCGGCGGTCAGTTCCACTGCAGGGCCTCTGGGAAACAGTGTAGCACACGTGATCCAGACAGAGTCCTCCCATCTGAGACGGGAGGGAGCTGGGGTATTTATCCCCCAGCTTCCACCAGTCATTAGGGGAGGCTGAAAACCCTCAGGCAAAGGGACCCAAGTGCTGACGCTTCAGGTTGAGCCAGCCTTCACTGAAATGGTTGATGGCCCAGGGCTTGGGGGCGGGCGCTGGTGCTTTTCCTAGAGCTACATGTGCTCCAACGGCGTGAGCTACAATAATGAACATTTCCCCGGCATCTACCATAGGCTGCACCCCGTAGGCCCTTTAGACTCTGACCCTTACAACAGCCTGCACGGTGGGTGCCAGTTTCTCCTGTTTTCCAGATGAGGAGCTGAGGCTCACAGAGGTGAGACAAAAAGGCAGGACTGAGATGACACCTGGCTCTCCGTGATTCTTTCCATTTTTCCATGCTGTCACTAAAACGCACCGAAATGGGCTTTTGGAAGCCAGAGAGGAAAGCAGGGTGAGGTTCCTTGAGGGACAGGGAAACGCCCCTCAACCCCTCCGGGCCCCTGCGAGTTTGAAAGGTGGCCAACTTTTTTTTTTTTTTTTTAGTTTGGATACCATTAATTTATTATAAAAGAGAGACATGAAAATTATTTACACGATGAAAGATTTTGCAACTTCACTGGAACAGGCAGCTTCACTTCACGCCATTTCAATAATGATTTGTTTCAGTCTACATACTTTCCGTCTCTAAATAAGAGATAATCCATCTCTAAATAAGAGATGCCACCATCTCTAAATAAGAGATAATCCTTGACGAGGCACCTGGGTGGCTCAGTGGGTTGAGCATCCCACTTCGGCTCAGGTCATGATCTCACGGTTCATGAGTTCAAGCCCCACATCCGGCTCTGTGCAGACAGCTCAGAGCCTGGAGCCAGCTTCGGATTCTGTGTCTCCCTCCCTCTCTGCCCCTCTCTCGTTCATGCTCTGTCTCTCTCTCGCTCTCTCCAAAATAAATGAACATTAAAAAAATTTTTTAGGGGCGCCTGGGTGGCTCAGTTGGTTAAGCATCCGACTTCGCTCAGGTCATGATCTCACAGTTCGTGAGTTCGAGCCCCACGTCGGGCTCTGTGCTGACAGCTCGGAGCCTGGAGCCTGCTTCAGGTTCTGTGTCTCCCTCTCTCTGCCCCTCACCCGCTCACACTCTCTCTCTGTCTCTCAAACATAAATAAACATTAAAAAATTTTTTTTAATTTTTTTTTTTTTTTAAAGAAAGAATCCTTGTCATCTAGAACTACTTTGGTGCCTCCATATTCTGGAAGAATAACTTTATCTCCACCTTTCACATTGACTGGTTGAATCTCTCCATCCTTTCCTTTAGATCCCCATCCACCGGCCACCACTGTTGCTTGCAATCCTTCTCCTTGAGATTTTTCTGGAAGCACAATGCCTCCGTGGATTACAATTTCGGCGGGACCCCTTTCAACTAAAACTCGGTTCAAGAGGGGAAGAAACTTTCTAAACGCCTGTTCTGCCATCACTCCGGCCGTCCCAGTTGGTACTCCGAAAGACGGCCACCTGGAGGTGTGCCCCGAGTCACTGTGACATTCCGGTTCAGTTTTACTACTTGGTAAAGCCCAGCCAATCAGTGTGACACCACTTTTGCCTCCCTTCTCTCTCCGGTCTCCGTGGGATGTGGTGAGCAAGCAGGGGCCCAGTACCTGTCTCTTTTGAACTGTTTTCTGACAAAGCCCTTGATGAGTGGGTTCTGGAATGTGTAGTACTTGGTCCAGTAGATGCAGAGGAACTCATACTCCTGGAGCAGCTCCATCACAGTGGCAAAGCCCTCGTCCAGCCTGAAGCTCTCGTCCTCCTGGGCACCTACTTCCCAGGCATAGATAGTCAGCAGCTCAAGGGCATAGACAGGGGGCAGCGCCGCCCTTGGGCACTTGGCTTTCACGTACTGTAGAAAGAGACCCGGGAGAGAGAGACCCCAAGATTGTGTGTCAGGATCCGCTCTGGACGGACCACAAACTGGAAAACCCAACTTCCTGTGTCAGCTCTGCCACCTACCGGCTGTGTGATCCTGGCCAGTCACTTTCCCTTTCGGGCCCTGCATGATTTTCCCGGTTTTAGACTTAAGGGGCTCGCTCAGTTGGCCCAGTGGGTTTCAAAGTATGCTTTTTTTTTAAGGTTTCATTTAAAGAATTTTTAAAATATTTATTTTCAAAGACAGAGACAGAGCAGGGGGAGGGGCAGAGAGAGAGAGAGAGAAAGAGAAAGACACACACACACACACACACACACACACACACACAGAATCCCAAGTAGGCTTTGTGCTGTCAGCCCTGAGCCTGATGTGGGGCTCGCGAACCCTGAGATCATGACCTGAGACTAAATCAAGTCACTTTAACGAACTGAGCCACCCAGGCACCCTTTAGAAGATTTTATTTTTAAGCAATCTCTACACCCTACACGTGGGGCTTGAACCCACAACCCTGAGATCAAGAGTTGCATCCCTCAAACTAGGTTTGACATAACCCCTGGTGTGGACTTACAGAGAGATGTCCCACGGAGTGAGGGGTGGGACTCTGCTGCTAGATCCCAGCCTAAGCAGCTACATTTCTATCTCTCTTAGTGTACTGGGCTTCTGAAAGTTTTCCTTCAAAGAAAAGTCTTCTTAGCTGATAGAAAAAAAAAAAAAAAAAAAGGGAGGGGTGGGAGGTACCTATAGAATTTGTCAATAGCTGAGATTCTGTGGGGAACACAGAATGCTCTAGCAGGCATCTCTTTCTTCTCCACTGTATAGTGGCGATGCTGGTTGGAGGATGGGATTAGCATCCCCCTCAACTCCAGGGTGGGTCCTGACTGGACAGGGTCATCAGCATAAACCTATTCCCCTTGCTGAGTGATTGGTTCAAGAGAAGCTTGTGATGTGAGCTGGCAATGCGAGTGAAGCCCAGGGGGGCTGAAAGGACAGAAATCTTCTCCCATGTGTGGATGTGAGGGCAGAAATAGCTGTGGCCATTTTGCCATCCTGAGGTTAAATCAGCCTGAAATCTGAGTTGGGAGAGAGAGACAGAGACAGAGACAGAAAGAGAGAACTTGAGGCAATTCTAGAGAAAACAGACCTGGAGACACCCCCCCCCCCCCGCAACAGTGCCTGAAACCCCATCCCCACTGTTACAGGTTTTCACACATGAGCTGATAATTCTCCTTGGTGTTTAAGTCAGTCTGAGTTGGTTTTTCTCTTACTTGCAAAAGAAAGCATCTTAACTTAAGCATCTTAAAGAAAAGCATCTTTTCTTAAAAAGAAAGCACACCAGTCACTTCTTGTCTAAACAGTTTTTCTAGTATTCAGTTAGAAAATGAAAATTTCTGTCAAACATCCAGCTATTTGGTTCGTGGATGTGAAATTGACATCTTGCCCTGTGGCCACTAACACCCCATAGTCAAAGGGGGAAAAAAAACCCTACTTCGACCTTGAAACAAACAAAAACAGGTCATCTAAAGGATAACAACTTTATTCCCAACTTTTAGAAGCATTTTTTCATTGAATTAAAATTTATTTACAAATTAATGAATTTGTTTTCATAACATTTTTTGAATTCACACTTAAAACTCAAGACTAATGTAATTTTGTTAAGAATTCAAACTCATAGCAATACAATTTATTTTCTCCAGTATTAGGGAGATTTTACTAGTGGGATTCTTTTTTTAAAAGCTTATTTATTTATTTATTTTGAGAGAGAGAGAGCTGGGGAGGGGCAGAGAAAGAGGGAGAGGGAGAATCCCAAGCAGGCTCCACATTGACAGAGCAGAGCTGGACGTGGGGCTCAAGCCCATGGACCGAGAGATCATGGCCTGAGCTGGAGTCTGATGCTTAATCACCTGATCCATCCAGGTGCCCCTACTAGTGGGATTCTTAAAATTTAGATGACAAATATAATGCAGAATGCCTGTAACCGTAAGATGTAAGCCTTAGGGAACACGAGCCCCTTCATTCTCTTAGGAGCTTCAACAGACTATTTAATGGTACAAAGAAAAACAACAAAACAAAACAAAAGAAAAAAACCCAGAAGAAAACATCTGTGTTCCCTTCCAGAGCTGATCTTCAGAGATACTTTGCTTTCTCCGTGTTCAGAATGTTTCTGACTCTTGCAATGGCGCCGTCTGAGATATGTCATGACCTTTCTAGATATGATAAATGGTGAGAAAATTGCCATTTTTCCATGACCAGACAAACTCTAAACCTAGTCTTGATAATTGTTGTTTCTTTAAACACCTATTATATTTTCCACTGGCTTAAGCCTTTTCTTCTGCAGTCTGATTCCCTGGCAAACTAGCCTGCAAGTTCTCATTTAATAAGTGACTTTTGTCTGTTAGTTTCTTTCTGCAGCAGGAGGTCTGTCTCACTGAGACTGTCCAGGAGGATTCATTTCCCAAACGACCTGAACTGTGTTGCCTGAGAAATGTACCCCATGGGCTTTGACATTTGGACACGCCCCTCTTCCAGCTCCCAGGGTGGACCTGGTGTGGCAACAGCTTTACCCTTGCTGATGTTTCTTTCCACCTTCCCCAATCCGACTGTTTGTACGTCTGATCCTAATTAAGTCTGGTTCTTGGCCAAATCCGATTCTGGTTCGTGTTCTTACTTATTTGCACGGGGCCGTTTATGTCCCTTTTGGTGACAATGACCTGTGCATCTAGTTTTATGGTTTGACCATTTGGTCTCTGTGGGGAGACAGATGATAGGATTTTATTCTCTGCTGGGTGGCAGTTGATGGGACTTTGCTTGTATTTTGCGTCTTTCTCTGTTTCTCTTTTGGTCTGTTATTTTTTCTTGAGGATTCTGGTATCTCCCAGGAGGCTCACTGTTGTTGTCTTATGGGTTTTTAAATTACTCAAAAAGTTGTCTGCATGTGTGAATGTGTGTGCATGTGTGTGCACATGTATACGTGACTCGTGGAAAACAGCCCTATGAGATGAGGAGCTGACTGATGGCTGGATTTCACCCTGTGTTTATTTTTGACCATAATTAAAGTAGTAAAACCAAAAGTGGTAGTTCTTTTTGTTTTTGTATGTAAAAGAAGAAAACATTTTACAAAAGAATGATCTGATTACAATATAATCTATTGGTAGGTAGATTTCTTTCTTCCCACTCAGAGATTGGAAATTTATGGAGCATAATTGGGAATAAATTCATATTCCCAAAAGGGGACTGAGGCAGAAGTTCACCAGATTCTTTTATTCCAGAAGCGGATGACTTCATAAAAGCAGATTGCTTAACCAAAGATCAACAAAATGAGAATTAATTACCCAGATTAATGTTCTATTTTTGATGGATATGTGACAAAAAAAAAAAAAGACCCATTCTTTCTTCTTAATCTAATTTCTATCCTCAATCTATGGCTATACTTGGGCAAGCTAAGTTTAAACGTTCTTTAAATGACATATTATTCCAACACCTCAGGATAAAAAATGCCTATAAAAATTCCTACCATCGATCATAATCTAACAAATCCTCAGAAAAACAAAGATAATGATGCTGTAAAAGCATAGCATATATAAATTGGCCCTGTTTACAAAACTATTCAGAATGATGGTTAAACATTTACAGAGTGATTTTATTAACTTCTTTTTCATGAATACGTAGCATTTACATAAGTTCAATACAAATTTATCCTTCTTCCTACGAGGATAGGTTTCAATAAGGCAATGTGTCAATTAACCGATAACCAATAATAAATCAAGTTTATAAATAAAATTGTTTTCACGCAAGAAATCTCATGTCATTAGGTGTGAAAATTCCACTATTAAGAATCAAAGACAGGGGTGCCTGGGTGGCTCAGGTAGTTGAGAGCCCAACTCTGATTTTGGCTCAGGTCATGATCCCAGGGTCATGGGATCGAGCCTCACATCAGGCTCTGTGCTGGGCATAGAGCCTGCTTAAGATTCTCTCTCTCTCTCTCTCTCTCTCTCTCTCAGCCCCTTTCCCCAGCTCTCTCTCTCTCACACAAATAAATAAAATTAAATTAAAATTAAGAAAAAGAATCAAGGACAGGGGCACCTGGGTGGCTTGGTCAGTTAAGTGTTTGACTCTTGATTTTCAGCTCAGGTCATGATCTCATGGTGGTGAGATCCAGCCTACGTTGGGCTCTGTGCTGGGCATGCAGCCTGCTTAAGATGCTCTCTCTCTCCCCCCTCTCTCTCTGCCCCCTCTCCCTCAAAAGAATCAAGGACAAAATAAAACAGACCAGAAAGACAGGTAATGTATAATTCCATTTAAATGAGGGACCCAGAGAATAGGCCAATTCATAGAGATAGAAAGTCGAATGGTGGTTGCCAATGCCTGGGGAGGAGGAGGATGGGGAGTTACTGTTTACTGGGTGCAGAGTTTCTGCCTATGAGGATGACAATGATCTGGGAACAGACAGTGGTGAGGTTTACACAGCATTGTCAATGTAATTAATGCTGCTGAACTGTATACTTAAAATGGCAAAAAAAAACCCAAAACAAAACAAAACAAAAAAAAAACAAAAAAAACCCCAAATGAACAAAAAACCTTGTGTGAAAAGCACAACTAAAACACTGGGAAAAGTCCCATCTTGTTCCCAGAACTGTACTGAATTAAATACTTCCAAATATAAGAAACAAACATCATTTTGTCCGTAAAAGAAAAACAAAAACAACAACAACAAAAAAGCAAGAATAACCCCCTCCTCTTCACACATGGAAATGATGCTTATAAAATCCCTTCCAGAAACTGATCTGATACTGTTGTAAGGCTGATAGAAGGCCAGCATTATATAGATGCCAAAAATAACACTTTGGGGACAGGCTACGAGCATGAACACACTTAGACGTCTCTAAGATCGGTGATAACCTTACAGTCAATTTGAAAGATGAACCCCCCCGAGGAGCTAAGTTGCGTGCTCCCTGGTTTCCGACCCCCTAGTTGATGGACTGAAAAGAAGAATGAAATACTTCTGAGCCATGAAAACACATGACAACTCCTGGGACTTTACAAAGCCTCCAAACAAACAAACAAACAAACAAACAAACAAACAAACTTCAATCTTTTAACCACAATGAGACTCTAGTTGTGTTTACCAAATGGCATGAGCTCTTTATGTCCTTCTATATTGACCAACACATCTTGCAACACTCAGCTAAACAAAATTAGTTGAACCAAAGATATCATCAAATCAGTAACACTGAACCAAAAACTGTTTTAAGAAACCACACGTGATCAAATCCCTGTTTTAAGGGAGAAGGCTTGAACAAAAACAGAAGGGAGGATTGTAGAAGTAACGCTGATATGTTGTCCCGTGGATATTACAAAAAAAATGTGTATATCATATGCAGGAAGAAAACATTCAGCGCTCGAGCAAACAGACAAAGCAAGCAAATGAATCATTCTTTTGGGTTCAAATTCTTCAAGTCCACAAAACCTTGCATTGTTTCCTGTAAGTAATTGACTCACCAACAAAACCAATTTTATTCTTGGCTTTGGCGATGCTGGTGTCTGAAGATACATCACAACCTTGGTTGACATGATAATCGTGTAAGAAAATGGCTATTTTTCCACAAGTAACTGAAAGCTTACTAACCTTGCAAAGATTTTAAGTTCTTAATGTTTATTTATTTTTGAGACACACACACACACACACACACACACACACACACACAGTGTGAGCGGGCGAGAGACAGAGAGAGAGAGGGAGATACAGAATCTGAAACAGGTTCCAGGCTCTGAGCTGTCATTACAGAGCCCAACCCGGGCCTCGAACCCACGAACTGTGAGATCATGTCCTGAGCCAAACTTGGATGCTCAACCAACTGAGCCACCCAGGAGCCCCTTGATTTTTAAAAAAAATACTTTTTTCTTAAAAAAAAAAAACTTTCTTTTTAAAAATGAACAAATCTTTCTAAAAATATGACTTTCTGACCATTTATTTATTTATTAAAATTTTTTTCCTTACCATTTTTTTTAAATAAGAAGGCGGCTCCCCCCCCACCCTGCCCTTTTTCATTTTTGAGTTTGTTTCTGAATTTTCCTTTTGTAATTTTATTTATTTTTTTTTTTTTTAATTTTTTTTAACGTTTATTTATTTTTGAGACAGGGAGAGACAGAGCATGAATGGGGGGAGGCTCAGAGAGAGAGGGAGACACAGAATCGGAAGCAGGCTCCAGGCTCTGAGCTGTCAGCACAGAGCCCGACGCGGGGCTTGAACTCGTGAACCACGAGATCATGACCTGAGCCAAAGTCGGACACTTAACCGACTGAGCCACCCAGGCGCCCCTCCTTTTGTAATTTTAGACGACTTGTTCATTTGGATATTTTGGAATATCCTTGGTGCCTTGCAAACTATCACGTGTGAAATCTGAAAAGTAGCTATTAGTGGATATATTTAGTCAATAGTGGTTGTGATAGGAACCCGACCATTTGTGGGGGGAAATTGGTGTGGGTGCAATTAAACAAAACTTTCCTCTGGTTAGTCCTTAACCAGCTGAGATTAACTAATGTCCACAGAACTCAGTGAAGTTGACGTTAGCAAACATAGACCATAACTGGGGTGTTACAAACATTTGTTTACTGAAATACTGTGTGTTCCTTATTTTCCTCCTTCCTTCTCTGTTCCTCTTTCTCCTCCTCCTCCTTTCCCACCTTTCTCCACTGTTTCACTTTACAGTTTAAAAGATTAGCAGTTTCTTCCCCCTCCCCCAGTTTCCTGGAATGACAAATCAGCCCCGCCCGGGCGGGCGGGGGGCCGCTCTGCGGGGCCGCTCGTACCAGTGTTTTACCAGCCGCAGGAGGCTTTTCAGCTTGGTTGGCCGATGTTTCACAAAGTTCCTCTGCAGCTCGCTGAAGGATGGGGAGAAGTTTCCAGGGTAACCGTGGGCCTCAATCAGACTCACATAGACCTCAGGAGGTGGCTGAGAGTTGGAAACAGAAGGCCCTGAGTGGGAGGAAGCAGAGGTAGAGAGTGGGGATTTAGGAAGCCCCAGGTTGATAAGAGGTCTATGGAGCTAGCCTGCTCATGTATTGGAGTGTCTCTCCAGGGAAACCTGAGACCTCACAGTCTAAGGGAATCAAGGTTTGCCTTGCTTGATTGTACTTCTGGAGAACCAAAAGTGGGCTTTCCACTCCTCGGGTCTCAGAAGACTGTGGTCTTCTCTCCACGTCCCAATACCCCAGGTTTCCTTAATGTCTGCTTTGGATTCCTTTCTCGGGGGTTTATTCCAAACTCCTGACCCCAGAAGCAGAGAACCAGTTCCAGATAAGAAAGCTGGGCTCCTCAAGACTGTGCTGCTGAACACTGTGCTTTCGTGGCATGCATCACTAATGCATCTGGGCACTCTCTTTCTTGCTCACGTAGGATCCCACTTCTGACACCTTCTCTACAAAGCAACTCCTGGCAACCACTCTAGTTAACAGGAGCTGGCACAAGAGGAAACATGATCATCTGAGGTTGTAGCTGATACTGTTTACTTCAAACATCGAGGACTCTTTGCCTGAGGACAAACCAGAAGTGCTGGGGAGTTAATGGTCCTGGGAAGCAGCCGTCAGCCAAGGGTGACTGCGAAGTTGGGGAATAAACGCCAACATCCCACTTGGGATTCAGTTGAGGGGTACTGTACATGGTGACTTAGAGTTCTCCAGGAGCACAAAGCCCTGTGGTTCATAATGGTGACCTTACGATGCTTCTTTCCTCCCCTGTCCCTCTCCCATACTTCCCTATCAGCATCTCCTGGGACTGCTTGTCCTCAAACCCTTGTCTCAGGGTCTGCTTCTGGAAAAGCACAAACACTACACCTGTGATAAATGCTACAGAAGCACCCCAGATTATGCTTCTAACACATTCCCCTCTGTGGGTCTCGTCTCCTCTTGCAATCATATATTTATCCACATGATTATTTAGTAAGCGTTTCCCGAGTTGGGTGACACAGTGGCCCAAGTTGGGCCAGTCCTGGGCCCTGTGGTCGCTGAGCCCCCAGCTCAGAACATGGGTTGAATGGATGAATGCAGGTGTCTGCATGTGGTCATGAACGGGAGGTGAGGGAACTCGGGTCTCCCGGGGAGGGCAAGTGTGTGAATCAGATCGGCTTCCCCTCCCCTTACCCAGGGCCCTGTAGGCAGGCACGACGGTGACAGTGACGAGCTCTGCGGTCTTCCTGGTCGGGATGGTAAAGACGAGGGCGTCGGGGACTCCTTGGACTATTTCCACGTTCTCAAGCCCAAGGGCCAGTAGGTCCCGGCAACACCACAGCTTTTTCCACATCAGACTCAGAACGGCTTGGTGGTACCTGGCCTCCTCCCGGAAGCTGTGGAAACAGCTCAGGAACACCACCAGTTCCACCTCCGAGGTTCTCCTGAGCACCGTGCCGTTCCCAAAGGAGCCTACCTGCGGAACACAGAGCCCCGTCACCCTGAGCCACTGCCCCTGCCAGGCAGTCCCTGAGGCTCCTTATAGGAATTACCCCACGTAACGTCCACCGCAGCCCAGAGGTACGGGTGGGGGTACCACCGTCCCCCTCTTTCCAGGTGAGAAAACTGAACTTTCAAGAGACTAACTCACTCACCCAGGGTCACACAGTGCACAGAAGGGTCTGGGTCTGAACCCAGGCAGCCGGACCCCAGAGCCCACACTTCTTATTAATGACAACGCATTGCTTCTGAGACGGGGTATTCTCAACCTGTGGAGTGACGCCTCCTCCAAGAAACCTAGTGGCGCCTTCTGTACAGCGCATTCTGAGCCTTCTGGGTGTCTGAGTAATTTCATGACAGTCAAAAGCGGGGCGCAGGATTGCCTGGTGGATAAGAACCGCAGGGCAGCCTGCGGGATGGGGCAGCCTGACTTTGACCCCGATTCTTGCCCTTGTTTCTCAGCTGTGTGATCATCGTGAACCCTCATTTCTCATCTGTGAAGTGAGAAGAGTAATGGCACTTGAGTCACTGGGAGGAGTGGATGATACATAAGGCATGGCAAGGGCTTACCACGTGCCCGGAATGCAGGAGGTCAGCAATATATTTCTCACGCTCTTCTTCGTCTAGTGGACTGAGATCATCCCTCCTCTGCCTGGGATTCTGTTTCCCCATCTGGATGGAAGGGGCCTGAGCTGGACAAGTTGGAAGTGGTCTATTCGATGTTCTGAGAGTCTAGACCTGCTCTCCCGCCCCTCCTGCCTCTGTTATACAAAGCCCCACAACTCTCCAGCCTCAGGTTGGGCGGTAGATTTGCTAGTGATGCCCCAGACCTCAAGTTGGCTACCGCTTCGGGGGGGTGGAGTCACCAAGGGTTGATTCTAATCCAGCTGTCACGGGGTGAACACTCACTATATCACTGAAGGCCCTTTGCACATACAGTATCTTTTAATCCTAACACCCGCTGATTGAGGTGGGTACAGGTATGATTGTCCCCAGTGCACAGATAAGAAAATTGAGGCAGTGAGGATTAATCGACTTGCCTTGGACTCCGAGCCGGGAGTCATAGTCAGTCAGATAAAGGGGCAGAAGACAAGGGTGGTTCTTCTCCCTTTCTTTCCTGTGACCCAAGTCTCTGAGGCAGGCCCTGGTTCTGAGGAGAAGACTGCCATCTTTTCTTCCCTGCCCTTTTGCATTCTCTTCCTTCACTGAGACCCAGCATTTCTGCCCCATTTGGCAGGGCTGGGGATGGAACCCTGTGTGTGAATGAAGGGCTCATCCCCCTGAAAGCTATGGGCTTCCTGCCATTTTCAGTGGTAAGACCCAGGCAGAGAAGAAAGAATATTCTAGAATAATCTTCATGACTTGCTTCAGCCCGAATCTGTTTAAACCCAACTCGTTCAAGGACAAGCCCAGTAAATCAGGTTTTTGGGAGTTGGGGGGGGGGGGCAGGAAGAGGGTTTAGAATCTGAATAAAGCAATATTTCTCATTGACCATTGCTTTTGGGCTATCTCTTTTATTTTGTGGTTTCAGAGAGAAGGCAAGGGCTACAGTCTTCAGGCAGAGTTTGAGGGCTGGGTAAATACCACTTCCTGCCATCAAAACTCATCCTCTTTGTAGCATCCTATAGTCTCCGGACCTGCCCCATTTCATCTACTCCATTCTCTGGATTGTTAGGGGTGGGGTAGGCTGGGAGGCTCTGCCTGACTCAGAGCAAGAATTTATAACAACGCTTTTGTTTTTGAGCATGTACCAGGTGCTAATTTTTTTTTTTTAAGGTTTGTTTATTTTTGAGAGACAGGGCATGAGTGGGGGAGGGGCAGAGAGAGGGGGAGACAGAATCCGAAGCAGGCTCCAGGCTCTGAGCTGTCAGCACGGAACCCAACGCGGGGCTCGAACCCATGAACCGTAAGATCATGACCTGAGCTGAAGTCGGATGCTTAACCGACTGAGCCACCCAGGCGCCCCCCAGGTGCTAATCTTTTAGCTTTTAGCTTTTGCTGGACAAGGAGGAAATGGTGATGAGGAGACAGAAGCTTGAGAGAGAAGAGGAGTTAAGATCACGCAGCTGGTAAAGAAAACATGCCAAGAGTCAAACCCTTGTCTGTGGAAATCATACGGCCTCAGGCTCTAGGCGCTAGGGGTGGGTGTAAGGAAGGGCTAGGGACCTGAGATTTCTAAATCCTTCCCTGAGGTGGCTGCCCCTGGAGACAGAACTAGAGCACTGGGCTGGAAGTCAGGTGCCCTAATTCTAGTCTTGCTTTTGCCACTAGCTCTCTGTGTGAACTTGGGACATCTATCACCCTCTCTGTGCTTCAGTTTCCTTCATTTTTAAACAAAGGTGTGGCTGAGACGGTCTGATTCTCCAGGGCCTTTCTCGCTTTGACCTTCTTGAATTTTGACTCTAGCCAGATCAAGAAGCAGCTGAAGGAAGGGCTTGGGGGGACATCTCAGTGAGGGCAGCCTGGAGCCCCGGCTGTGGAATCAGATAGATCCTGGTTCAAATCCCGGCCCCACCACTAGCTGTGTGACCTTGGGTAAGTCACCTCGCCTCTCTGAGCTTCCGTTAAAGAAAACTTCTTTTTTTTTTTTTAAGGTTATTTTCTTTCTTTTGAAGGCTTCATTTAATTTTTTTTTTTTAATTTACATCCAAATTAGTTAGCATATAGTGCAACAATGATTTCAGGAGTAGATTCCTTAGTGCCCTTTACCCATTTAGCCCATCCCCCCTCCCCCAACCCCCCCCCCCATAACCCTCAGTCTGTTCTCCATATTTATGAGTCTTTTCTGTTTTGTCCCCCTCACTGGTTTTACATTATTTTTGTTTCCCTTCCCTTATGTTCATCTAAGAAAACTTTTTTCATCTAAAACTTAAAACGTAGAAGAATAGAAAGAGAACACAACGAGCACTCATAGATCCAGCCAGTGAGATTCAACAGGTTTACACTTCTCGCCACATTTGCATCATCAAAAACACTTTAAAGCAGATTACAGATACTTTTTCCTTGAATACTTTAGGGAGCACATTTCCTCCCATAACCGCCAAACTGTTAACACCTAATAAAGTCAACAATGGCTGCCTTAGATTACCTAATATCCAGGCTGTATTAAAATGTCCTTAATTGTCCCCACACTGTTATTTTCCAGATGGTCTACTTCACACCTGGATCCAATCAGAGACCTCGCATTGCATTTGGTCACTAGGAACCTTAAGGCCTTCATTGTGCTCATCTGTAAAATGGGCAAAGGACAGTGCATACCTCACAGGGTGCATGGATTAGAGACAGGGTATGTTAAAAGTTTGGGCTAGTGAACTACAATCACTAGTTTCCTTATCAGGCTTGTTCGGCTCAAGGCAGACAGTACGTACGTACTACAAGGTGCACGCAGCTAGCTGGGGTGTCCTGACATGTCAGCAGCATGGGCTGAGGATAACGAGGCAAGACGTCCCCAAGCATCCTCTGACACGAGGACCCTCATGCTGCCTTTGCCGGGCCCTGGCCTGTGGATGGGAGGGACCAATCTCACCTTGACCACCTTCAGCACCCGCGCTTCCTGGTCCAGCCCATGCTCCCCCTCAAAGTGCTCTTCCCGCAGGAATTTTTGCACCGTCCGCACGGCCTCCAGGACCTCTTCTTTCCAGTCCCGGCTGGGCTGCAGCCACTGAGTCACGAAGGAGTCCAGCCGGGAGGCAGGGGTGTCATAGAGCTCTGGGGTCAGCGCCATCTCTGAATGAGGAGAGTACCACTGGGGCACAGATTTATAGCCACGCACCTACCCAGCTCCCTGCACACACCCACTTCTTTAAGGGGGCTCCCCCTCGGCTGACTGCCAGCGTCCTGTGGGATAAAGGGACCAGAGAGGAGACGGAACCAGGGGTGTCTGGGCTGACCTGGGTTCCTCTTCTTGGAGACCCCTGGCCGCGGCGAGGACACTGAGGGACAGCGAGCCAAGCTGGGAGATCTGGGGCCACCTTAAAATGCTTGGCTTCCAGTCCACCTTTTTGCTGTTGGTTTCGATTCTCAGCTTTTAGAGTTTCTAGAGTTTCCCTTTCATGACGTTTGGAAACTGAAATTGGCTTGGGTTTGGCCCCAGAGGAGGCAACTCTCCCAGTAGGTCAGAGTGGGATGGCATCCATCGGCCCGGCCAACCCCTCTTGTCACACAAAAATGAGGCTCAGAAAGACAAGGGACTTGCTCATGGTCGGTTGGTGGTCGGTCAGGGTGAGCCAGGGGAACCCCAGAGTCCGGCAGAATAGACTGCCCGCCACACTCTTAACTTCTGTGACCCTCGCATAATTCATCTGTAAAAAATAATGCTAACCCACCCCCTAGGAGGTTGTGCAGATGAAGCACTGAGCATTGAGCACAGAAAGCACCTGGTAAATGCAAATATTATGATTCAGTCACTAAACACCTATTGAATGCCTGCTAGGTGCCAGATGCTGTGTTAAAAAGACAATGAGATGTAGTTCCTGTCCCAGGGGCTCCCAGAGCAGTAGGGGAGCTGGACAAGAGACTCTGAGAGTCCAGTGTGAGCCTTAAAGGACCGGGGACGTGGCCAGAAGGGAGAGGGCGTTCCAAGAACAAAGTAAAAGTCCGAACGATCCCGGTGTGTGCCAGGGACTCAGCTGTCAACTATGTGTTGGCACAGAAGGTAAAGGGGGGGAGAGGAGAGGGATGGGCCTGGACAGTTGGGCAGGAGTCGAATCTTGGCCATTCATTCGTTTATTCAACAAATATTGATTAGCTACTACGTGCCAGGCAGGTGCTGGGGATACAGCAGTGAAGAGACAAAAATCCCTGCCTGCAGAGGGCTTGCGCTCTGATGGTGGGGACAGAGAATAAACAGGATAACTATGTCAAATTTTATAGTAAATAAGATGGTGAGAAATGCTAAGGAGAAAAACAGAGCAAAGCAAGAGGGTAAGAGGTACCCGGTGTGTGTGCGTGTATGACTGTTTAGATGTTCAATCTTAAATGACGTGGTTGGAAAGGCCTGAAAAGGAGATATTTGAGCAAAGACACGAAGGAGGCGAAGAGTGAGCCACATATATGCTAGAGGGAAGAGGCTCATTCGTGGCAGAAGGAGCAGCGGGTGCAAAGGTCCTGTGGTATCAATGTGCTTGGTGGGTTTGAGGAATAACAGCATGACTGGAAGGGAATAACCAAAGGGGGAGAGTGGGAGGGGATGAGGTTTAAGTGGCAAAGGGTGGGGAGTAAATGCTATGGGATCTTCAAGACCACTGGGCCTGACTTTTACTCTGAATGAAATGGGGAGCCACTGGAGAGTTTCAAGCAGAGGAGTGACATGGTCTGACTTTTTTTTTTTTAAGTTTATTTATTCTGAGAGAGGCAGAGACAGTGCGAATGGGGTTGGGACACAGAGAGAGGGAGAGAGAATCCCAAGCAGGTTCCGTGCTGTGGTCACAGAGTCGGATGCGGGGCTCCAACTCACGAAACCTCGAGATTCTGACCTGAGCTGAAGTCGGACGCTTAACTGTCTGAGCTGCCCAGGCGCCCCTCTCCTGTGTTATTTAAATGTGAATCCTAGACATGACATCATTTCCCTGCATATATTTTGAATATAAACAAGTCTTGCTAATGGATAGAATATGATGTGAGACAAAGACTGGACTCAAGGACCACTTGGAAGCTTTGGGTTTAACAACCGGAAGGATGGAATTATCCTTAACTGAGTCAGGAAAGACTGGGAAGGGCATGTTGTGGAATGCCTCTAACCCTCAGGATTCTCACCTGTAAAACGGGAGAGAATGTGTTAATCCTACTCCTCCATCTAACTTCCGGGGTTAGCTGGGATAGGGATTCAATGACATCATGGTGGTAGAGACTCTTGGTGTCAATGCCATGTCAACGCATGGAACTATGAATTTAGTGAGGAACAGAGAAAAAGAATTTTACTGAGCTGCAGAAGCAGATCTTAGTCAAGGCTTTGGGGCACACCTGATCCGCTGTGATCTGCTTAATTTAGACTGATGAAAGGTTGGGGGGGATTTGATTTTTTTTTTAATGTTTGTTTATTTTTGAGACAGAGAGAGACAGAGTGCGAGTGGGGGAGGGGCAGAGAGAGAGGGAGACACAGCATCTGAAACAGGCTCCAGGCTCTGAGCTGTCAGCGCAGAGCCCGACGCGGGGCTCGAACCCACAAACTGTGAGATCATGACCTGAGCCGAAGTCGGACGCTCAACTGACTGAGCCACCCAGGCGCCCGATTTTTTTAAAAGGGCAGGTCTAACAGCCCCCCCCCCCGCAGTGTCTCTCCCTGGGGCTGTGTAAGGACTTTGGATTCTCTCTTGCTATGCGTGGCTCCAGTGCTCCATTGTCTGTGTTGAGGGGTGTCTTTTTACTCACCTGTAGACTTGAGCTGAGCCTGATCTGTTCCGGTTGCATTTCTGCTTAGATGTTCACCCTTATTTAACTATACTGGGAACTGGTCCCACCCACCAGGACTCAAAATCTGATAGGCGAAGTAAAGCCAATAGATGGATTCTATGCTGGGTCAGCTGATTCCTTTGGGTGGTTAGGTTTGGACAGATGAGTGAAGCTATTGGGTACGAGCATGGAATGGTCTACGACTCCAGCACCGGGCTTGTATGGGGGAGAATGGGCAATCTCAAAGAATGAGACGCAGCTGGGGGACGGGTGGGGGAGCATTCCAAACCATGTGGTCTCCAAAACAGAACTGGCTTGAGACCGTCAGGAAGATAATAGGGAAGAATTCAAAGTCATTCTTTGGTTCGTTTGTTCAGCAAGTACGTGCTGAACATGTACATCAGGCCAGCAGCATTCTAGACTATGGGGACACAGGAATAAGGCTCTTGTCAAGTCTCTTTAAAAATTTTTTTTTTCAACGTTTATTTATTTTTGGGACAGAGAGAGACAGAGCACGAACGGGGGAGGGGCAGAGAGAGAGGGAGACACAGAATCGGAAAGAGGCTCCAGGCTCCGAGCCATCAGCCCAGAGCCCGATGCGGGGCTCGAACTCACGGACCGTGAGATCGTGACCTGGCTGAAGTCGGACGCTTAACCGACTGCGCCACCCAGGCGCCCCAACTTGTCAAGTCTCTTTAAATCAGGGAGACTTATGATCCCCACATGGGAACACAATGAGGGTCCCAAGTGCTTTCACGGAAGGTCTGACCTGGGTGTAGGGGCAGAAAATGACTTGGAAGGCTTGTTGAGACACAGATGGCTGAGTCCCACCACCAAGAACTGACTCGGGTGAATCCGACATGGTTGTTGAGAAATCTCATTTCTAAGATGTTCCCAGGGGATATGCCAATTCTGCTGGTCTGGGGTCCATACTTGGAGATTGACTTAGAGATGTGCATGTTGAAAGACGAAAGCATGGGGAAAGGAATAGTTGATTCACAGTCATGGAGGTATGATCCGACATTCAGTGCTCTGGAGATGCAAGGGTTTGGGCACATCTGGTGTGTTTTGAGAGTGGTGAGGTGAGATTAAGAGGCAAGCAAGGGCTAAATTGTCAAGGACCTTGAATGCCAAGCAAAAGAACTTGAACTTTATTACATAGGTACTAGGGCCATTGGAGGACTTCACGCAGGGGGAGGGTCTATTCATATTTATGCTTCAGAAAATCACAGTGGCCTGGGTAGAAGGGGGTGGGTGGGGGAAGAGGGCCATAGAAGTCTATATCATGTACAACCCGACCGTGGGCACTGCTAGGGGCCTGTGGCTTTTCCTAATGAGCATGATGGTGTCACAGTCTTTGATCTGCAGGTCTGAGAGGCTGCAGTGATTCCTCAGTTTCTGATTCTGGAACTTTAGTATCTGATCCTCCACGTAAGGTCCCTCGGCCTCCTCAATCTTCTCTTTCAAGGCATAGATAGAGTCGTCAGGGTGGATGGCATAAGGCTTGCTCTGACCGCTAGAGTTCTTCACGAAGACCTGGATCTCGGGAGGGAAGGTCTCCAGCACCCGGATGCTAACCTTAGAGAAGATCCCGTAATGGGCTAACGTCCGCTGGCTACTGAGCAGCTGCCGTTCCCCTCCCGGCTCCTGGAAGGAGAGACGCTGTTGTCCTCTGAGGCCAAACGTCCTCTTGATCTCCGTTTTCATCTTCCAGATGGGACGGTAGGGGTCCACCGACAATATCCAGGCCTCCTCTCCTGTCTTTTTCACCATCACCTGGACCTCTCTTGCTGGCTGGAAGGGACGGAGGAGCAGACAAGGATATGTGATGGTCGTGGCTGTTGCCTCCAAATCCTCCTTCTTGTCTACCGATGATATGATGTATCGCCTACCCAGACACTTGGAGTAGAAAAAGGGGCTATCGATGATTATCACAGCCAACGGGTATAAACGAGGACTGTCCCAGGCAAAACAGAACATTCGGTCGCCCTAGGCTTACAGGACCACTGGGTCACCCTCTGTCCTGTGACTCACCCTGATCAGAGTAACAAGTGGCAACCGTTCTCCAAAGAGCCACTCCTCCTGTGTGGCGTTATTCAGAGTCCCCACCTGTCACACGGGGATAACATTTGCGCCTACCCCACAGGTGCATCATAGGGTTGTTCTAGGTTAAATAACCTAACAGATGTCAGGCACTGGGCCATATGTTCAAGGATATTCACTGTGATGGCAAAAGTCTGGGAGCAGCCTAAAGAATCTTTCAGTAGGGGGGGGTAGTGGTCATAAAAACTACGGTACTTTCATTCACTGCATCATGCATGACACAGCTGTTAATCCAGGGTGACCCGATGTTCCT